CCTGCCACGAAATCTGCACATCAAGCGCCGGTGCCCAGCCGACGCCAACACATAACGGTGTGGTCAGCCAACGACGATAAAAGGGTCGCACGACTCATTGGGTACTTGCACAAGTCCCCCGTGATGTGCATTCGTGATCCGCCGGAGCATCTCTCCCTGTATTGCGATGCCGACTTCGGTGGTGACATCAAGTCAATGCGCTCAACCTCTGGATTCGTGCTTGCAGTGTCGGGTCCCTCCAGCTTTGCTCCGGTGAGCCGGGGTACTAAGAGGCAACGCGTAGTTTCCCGTTCAACAACGGAGAGCGAGTTTGTTTCGCTTTCCACAGCCCTCTTCTCAGAGGCAATCCCAACCTTGCAAGTGTGGCAAGAGTTGATCCCTGGGATGACCCTGAAGATTTTCGAAGACAATACGGCCGTGGTCTCGATTATTCTGAAGGTTGCTCCAACAAGTTGAGGCATTTGAGTAAAACCCCGGCTTCAACTGCCGAGACAATAAATAATGCTGATGACATCACAGTCCAGCATATCGAAACGACTCAGCAAAAGGGTGACGTGTTTACAAAAGGATTGCCGTTAGCCAAATGGGGAAATGCTTTAGAGTTGTTGCAGTTCTGCCTGAGTCCGCTCCCGTCTTATGATGCAGGCAGGAGCTCGCATGACTAGAGCTAAGCGATAGTCAGTCGCAGTTCGATGCTAAGCTAGATCTGCAATGAATGAAATGGTTAGAGCTAAGCGATAACCAGCAGCAGTTCCAAACTAAGTTAGATCTGCAAAGAATGAGAGTTCGAACAATGCATGTCGACAGTGCTATTGCCGAGCATAGCGCCAAGCTTGCATGCAGGGTGACTGGCTGCTATAAGCGCCGCTCCCTAAAAGCCGTTCGTAAGCCTGTAATGTTCGCTTGCAGTCTTTCGATAGGAATTGTCAGGTCACAGGCGGTTCAATCAATGAAGCGACTGTCTCAGACCTGGAATACTAGCTGTACATATGTTCATCTCACTATGAGGGGGGACTTGAAGTTTCCTGTGTAAAGTACACCTCATATGTATAGACACAGTTCATGAACATTGTACTTTTGGCTCAAGTGGTAAAAAGGTCCGCAGCCGCTGCCTCGTCGCGGTCACGACGGACTTTACTTGTTACTTTCGGTTGTTTGTTGTGTTGGTGTTCCGTTTCAACGGTTCGAGTGATATAGATCGGAGTGGCTGACACCAAACTCGCCGATCCTCCACGAGTATTCTCCGCGGCGTATTCCGAGGGCCCTGCCGAATACTCATCCCGCCCAGACTTTCAACAGAGGTGTATCCGGACTACTGGTCTCCAAAAAACACGTAGAGGTGAATTTGTGTGTACTTGCGCGCGCGTATACTACGTGGAATCGCATTTGCCAGGGTTCATGTTTTTGAGGACAAACAGACAGACAGAGAGAGAGAGTTTACATACCTGGTCTTTTCTTTGTTGTCAGGTAAGGAGGGGAACAGGAGAGGTGAAGGAAAGAAAAGGAAAGCAAAGGTGAGGAAATGCAAGTGTAAAACAGAAGGACAATATAAGGAAAGAGAAAGAAAATGACGCCGCAGCCGCAGCCGCAGCCTTCAGGCCAAGAGCTACCTTCTACCCCAGCCACAGCTTTGCAACCAGCAGAAGCCACAGCAGCGGAAACAGAGAATACAACAACAACAGAGGCAGAGGGAGCCACGGCCACACCTGTCACACCCTCTGTCAGACCTCCGTCTTTGCAGCCAGAAACAGGAACACCTACAGCTGCCATGTCAGCAGCTTCGGCTTCGCATGCAGCAGCAGCACCGGCTCTGTGTCCTGCACCTGCCACCAAATCTGCAACTCCAGGTTCACCAGGCTGCAGCGAAATCTGGCCCTGCAGACTCATGTGTACTGCGCCTGCCACCAAAATCTGCACTCCAGGTTCACAGAGTCCTGTGCCTGCGGCGAAATCTGCACAACAGGCAGCCGCACACAGCCGCGGGCCAGCGGCGACCACGCGCGCTGCAGCTGGTCCGGGAGGCTCTGTGTACGGCGCCTGCCACGAAATCTGCACTCCAGGTTCACAGAGTCCTGTGCCTGCGGCGAAATCTGCACAACAGGCAGCCGCGGGCCAGGGGCGACCACTGGGTTCACAGAGTGCTGTGCCTGCGGCGAAATCTGCGCGACAGGCACCATGCGCGCCGCAGCTGGTCCGGGAGGCAAAAGAAGGGATACGGAGCAGGATGTTGCTGATGCCATGGGGTATGGCCCAGCAGGGATTGGATGGCCATGGGTTGCTGCCCAGAATTGGATCGGCAAGATGAGGAAGCTGGGTCAGCAATTGGACATTGAGAGGGAGAATAGAATCAAGGCTATGAGGGAGCAGGATGAGAAGGATCAGAAGCTTGGGGAGAAGATGAAGCAGGAGAGGGAGAAGATGGCAGCGTTGGCTGAGAAGATGAAGGCAGAAAATAAGAAGATGACCAAGATACAGGAGGATGCTTGGAAATTGGTGAATGAGGGTGGTGCTTTGAGGGTGGGTGAGCTTCCATCAGCCTATTTGAAAGCCAAAGCCGAGATTGAGTTGGGTGGGATTGGGGTATGCAGCAAGTGCAGGTATTCCAGTGGGTGTATGGACTGCAATGTCTGGAAACGCACGGCCTGTTGGATGAGGAGGGAGGGGAAGAGGCTGGGGAGGAAGATCCATATGCAGTTTGCTGGGAAGAATGAGAAGAGCAAGCAGAATGATCAGAATGATTGATGGATGAGAGGATCAGCATGGGAAAAGGGTGGATCAGAATGCCATCTGTCAAAGAGATGGCGTGAGACAAGGGTGGATCAGAAGATCAGTTTCACCATGGACCAGAAGATATTATATAGATATGGGTCAAACAAATAAATAATAGGGGAGGTTTCTGCAAGACAAACATTAGGGTGATGTACCATAATAGGGGAGGTTACTTAATCCTATGTTGACATTAAACTAAACGGATTAGAACCCTGAAAGACCTTGTGTCACCATGGCAAACACTGCCTCCTAAACAACAAGAAACACGTAAAAACTCAAGCCCTTTCCTTGTAGAAACTCAATAAGATTCAAAACGTCTTCAGCGTCTTAGGCCGAGTTTTAGGCTTTTGGCATTTTATAGATAGCATTTGTTGTGTGTGATTTGATAGAAAAAGGGAGTGCTGCGATGGACGCCTTTGTCGTAACTAAAGCCCACTTGTACTTGTTGTAAGCGTGCGACGTTTGCCCGAAAACACGGCAACCTTGAAATCTGGAGTGTGCAATTCTTTTTCGCTGACACATGTCTTTGTCTTCAGGGCACGTGGTCCTCAGGCCGCAGGGGCTGCATGCGCATAGACACGTGGAAAACTCCCTTCGTGGGGCAAAGCAGAATTCTAGGTCTTTGTTCAATAAGTAGAGCCGGAATCCGCGGTGCTAGTAGTAGTTCAACCAAGCATTCATTTTTGAGTGTTTAACGGCTGGACTCATTTACAGCATGTGAGACGCAACTGCCGAGAGGGTTTGCTTGCCGCCAGGTTTCTGTGGTATTGCTCAGTGGAAGAGGGGCTTGGTGTAGCCTGGCTGACTGGAGTTGGATTTGTTCTACGAGATTGTGTCAGTTGCTGATGGCAGAAAAATTCAGCAGACGAATCTAGATCCACTCTCTAGTGTTCTTTCATTTGCATCATGTTCCAACCCAAGCGTTCGTACAGCCGCAGGTTTGGCATCATGTTTCGAAATAAAACCAGACCGACCGGGAAAATTTGCCCGAAACGCAGATCTCAAGAGATTCCTGCACTGAGTTTGTGGCAGGTAGAGCAGACCCAGCTCGCACTGTGAATGAGCTCCAGAAGGAAGCCCAGCAACGTTGAAGCGATCAGGTGATATGGTGTCGTCATTTTGTTCTGAACTGGATGTTAGAGGAGGATGCCGACATCTCCAGTGCAAACAGGTGGATGCGATATGTTCTTTTTTTCTGCGCTTGAATCATGTTCAACAGTGGATGCTTCAGGCAAACTGGTAGAATGGAAGAGGTTTGGTTTGCCCATAATTTTCAAGTTTTACAAATTGTTCAAATGCAAGCAGCAAACTCTACATGTGCACTGCCAGGAGTTTGACAGAGGGTGATTGTTGACCATTCCTACCTGGCACACGAGATGGCATTTCCATTTTTTTGGCTGAGTCCCATCAATGTTGTGACACCAGGCACGATGAATATCACGTTGTCAGATTTATTTCTTGCTGAGGCAGAGGTTGGGAGTTAGCATTGCATATTTGATCACTGCAGTGGGTGCGAAGTTGTATCTTGGAACAGTTTGAGAGCACGCAATATCTCAACTGCCATATCCCACAAGTTCTTTAAGATTAGTCAAGTTAAGTCTAGCTCATGTGTTTTTGTTTCATGCTACTTACGCATCCCATGCAAATGCGATTTCTAAGGTCAGAGACCACCATGACCATGGAGGAAGCAGGAATTGGCCATGATGATTATGTACAAGCGGTTGTAGCAGCCAAACAGCACAGCAATTTATGTACAAGGGCTTAGTTTGGATGTGTCTCCTGCACGGCTTTGCAGACTTAGGGCTTATAGATCCATTCTTGATTAAGCCAGATTCAGACACTTATGTGTATACATATATTTAAAGATATATAACAAACACACACACACATATGTATATATATATATCTATTTATTTATTTTTTTTTCATTTATTTATTTATGTATTGATTTGTGTGTCCCTTTTCAATGATACATTTCTCAGCGAACTCCTGGTTCTCTATTAATTTTTCAGGTTGGCCTCAATCTGGCTTCCATGAGGCATGTTTTCGAGATATTCACTTCTATCTAGTTTGATTGGTTTCTTCGCTGGGTCTGAGGCGTCTGAGGCCCCCAACTGCCCTGACCCTGACCTCTCTCGTCGCAGTGACTCGGAGTCAGAGAGTGGGAGGTTCATCACTCTTTCTTCTCCCCAACTGCAAGTTGAGTGGGGTCTATTCTCAGAAGCACCGGACGTCCAGTTGTTGAGCGAACTCGCCGACGCATTTGAGCTATATTTCCCGCAAAACTTACGTATGTGTGATTATTGGTTTCCCCGAGGAAAAAGCTGCACGACGCCATTGTTTCCTGGGATACCTATAATCTTTAGCGAGTGGAGTTCACCAAAACGGCGCAGCTGTAAATTTCAAGGAGTCCTTTTCACACGATAAGAATGCAAAGTGAGCTTGAGAGGTGCCTCTTGATGTGCTGAATTGGTGATGACTCGTGCAAAGACCCTGCACAGAACTCAACTTGAGCGGGATAGGATCGGATGGAGGGCATGAAATTGTCTTTTGCTACTCTCATGTGACGACAGGTTCCGCTTCCATACTTTGTGTACTGTGATTCAATGATTCACCTGTGATTCATAAAATAGGTGCTCATCCGCTTGCTTCTTCAGCCGCAAGTATTTTGTTGGCCTCCAAAACCTTTTCATCCATGAGGTGAGCACAGCTTGGAGGATCTGGAAAGCCTTGTGAACCTCCTCTTGGACGCGCAAATTGGCTTGATCCGCTTGGAATACTTGATGGAGCTACGTGCTCGTGGCGACCAACTACCGCGCCGGCAGGATGCTGAGCATGAGATGACCAGTAGCAAGCGCACTGCCATCGTGAGCCGCGAAGAACTTATGGAGTTGGAATTGGATGAGATGGGACACATCACCACATTGATCAGCAACCCTGGACACTACTTCCCCCCAAGCAGAGTGAGGGTATCCTTGCACTCCATATCACACCCGTGGGAGACATTGGAACATCCAGACCCTTGGGGATATCAGCTTCAATGGTTGATCGAAGAGTGTCGTCCTGCACTAGCCGAGGGCTTGGTGTGGGTTTTTGTAGACTACACTTCACTGTATCAGCGAGGTGACCGTACCGAAGAACAGATCCAAGCGGTTTCTCACGCTTTGTGGAACGCACACGTGCTTTATGCTCACAATGCCATTACGGTGCACAGATTGGAGAGCCTGACACCAGAGACTGAGAAAGCTGATGGTTTCATCCCAGTGTTTTCTGAAGAGGCCGGAAAAGTAAGTGAGATGGCCATCAAAGACCTGACGATGAAAGACACGCCTTGCAGTGATCGTGGATGGTGGCGAGGTGAAAAGCATTGGTCAAGTCCGCGAACCCCTGGCTCAAGCTCTCACTCTATCCCTTTGCTACCTCGCTTGTTCAATATGCTCATTGATGAGCTTGTTTTTACCCAAGACGATGACAAGAGGATTGTTCAGGAAGTCCACAGGAAGTTTTTTCTTGAGAGAGTCTCAAAGTGCAGAAGTCTGACACTGGAGAAGCTGCACGAAGAGGCTGTAGATTTTCAGTGTGAAGCATTGCGCTTCTACGAGCAATTGGACAAGATTGTGCTCAGTCAGATGTCTCTCAAACATGACGCAGTTCTTGCTATAGCCCAGACCAATGCGAAGTCGATACACCTGAAGAGATGTGGCCTTGCAGACTATGAGGTGGAAATCCTGTCCCATGCCCTGAAAGATGAAGATCATCCAGTCGAAGAGTTGCATTTGAGCCATAATCCCTTTGGTGAGAAAGGCATGCAAGCACTGCGGGAACTTTCCATATTGAAGCCCGGTCTTACCATTGATGTCTTGCAATTGCCAGACATTGAACTGGAGTTTGGTGTGCCAGAGGTTTTTCAGAAGATCTTGATGGTGACACCATCATCAGTTTTTCTAGAACACAAGCCTACAATCGAGATCATTGATTTTGGAACGCTCAAGCTGCCAGAGGGTATGATGCCTGCAAGCCATTTGCTACAGCTCTCACCGGAGGGGGTGAACTTCCAGAAGCCTGTGCGCTTTCTGGTGCCCACACACATCGGGGCCAATGCTGCCTGGCGGTCCAACTCTGACGGCAGCTGGGAACAGGTGCCAGCGCAGTTTCGCCATGGATACATGGAGGTCTACTTGAGCCACTTTTGCCAGCTTTACTCCAGCAGACCAGAGAGGACAGACTTTGTAATGAAAGCTGTAGCATTTTTGAACCCAAGCGCATCATCAGAGGCTCCAGAAGGGAGACTAGCATTTCTTGAAGCTGACTGCCCAACTTGTGAACAGGACCTCAATCAAAGGATGGATGGAGTCGTGAGATGTGTGGTGGAGGAAGCGGTTGATCTCTTTAGTCCTCAGAGAGAAATTCACATCTTGCAGGATGGAGAGGTGATCCAAAGCTTTCACTTGAACTTTGAGAGTGGAGTTCAGATCTCTGAGGGCTTCGAGGTTCCGTTGGACATTCATTGGACCCATCAGTTGTATGTTGAGATGGAGGTGGTTGACCCAGAGACTGGAAGAAGCCGACGTCGGATGTACACCTTTGACTTTCCAGACAGGTCAATGTCAATGCCTGATCCACCTCCCCAACCATTGCCAGTTCCCCCACCTCCTCCACTGATCCAGAACCCAGTTCCTCCTCCACTGCAGGGCTCTCCGCCAGACCCTCCGCCAAACCCACCGGCAGAGCCCCCACCAGTTGCGCCAGAGGTGCCCCGGCCACCACCTCCGCCAATTCACAGACGGCATTTGATGTTGTCTGGAAGGTTCAATACCACAGAGAGGGTTGAGTACATCCGGCTGGTGCAAGTAGCACTTGAAAGCTATGGCATTGAGACTTTCATGGTCGATGTGGTCGCCAGCCAGCAGTTCAGCTCCGCCACCAGGGAAGGATTAGTGAAGATGAGGATGATGGCAGCGTTCTGTGAGTGGGACTATGGCTCACAAACAGACGTAGGCTACGAGACCTTCCAGGAACTCGAGTACGCTTGGGAGAATCGGATTCCAATCATCCCCGTGAAACTGTGCCAGGATTGGCCCCCCAGGCCTCCGGATGAGGCTGGCCGAATTCAAAACATGTACGTGTTTCGGAAGAGTCTTATCTACATCGATGCTGTTGCCATGTCAATTCAGAAGGTTGCAGAGGAAATCGCCCAAGCCTGGCGACAAGCTGCATGAAGGGTGTCAAAGGCCACACCACCGCGAACATTGTGATCCAAAGCAGATGGTCTTCGAGAAAAAGATGTTTGCAAAAGTCTTGCCGCAGAAGCAGCTGCTTCTGGAACATGGAGACTGTATGTATCCTGAGCAAGTTGAGTAGTTGTTCTTTGGCTGTGTAACGAATTGGGGCATCCGATCATCCCCAAATACTCAATTACATACTAATACTTAACAATTCTTGATGCTGGACTGGGCTTGAGCCCACCGCAGCTAGACACATCCAACTTCAGCTGGCACACTGGTTCAATCCAAGCAGCTTTGAACATGAAAGCAGTTCTCTGCTCATGGCTCTTGGCCCAAGCATCAGTGGGAAGCACTGCAAGAGAGGTATTTAGGCACAGCAGGTGTCCCCTGGGCGCTCCCCGTCACGACACGCGTAATCACCAGGGCAGAACACAAAGGGCTTTTCATTGCAAAACACCGAGTTTGACCGATGATGAGCTTTGGACCCCCCTCCGACCTCCTACCACAGAATCTTAGGCTATAATGACCCCAACTCAGAGACCAATCGATCTGTAGGAGAGGCTTTCAGCTCACACTCTTCCCGCCCTACCAGCCGAATCGGCTGCGAGTCCTTGGAGCACGAGGAATCGCCTGGGTCCCCGGAGGAGTCATCGGCGCGCCGTGAATGGAGCCTATCAAGGCCATGGAGGTGAGCGCCTTTTGATATCGACGGGAGGAAGATGTAAAAGGTTCTGGGTCAAACAAAAGGAGCAGGTTCTTCGAGGTGGAGGTTCCCTTGGAATGAAGCAGAACCAGTCGAGAAAACCTACAAAGTACTGATTTGAGCACTGTGCAAGACTGAAACTCGACCGAAGCGGCTGCTCATTAGGGCGCCGTGACTCCTACGAAGAGGGTGAAGGGGTTGGGAGCTGGGGCAGAACTCCCGCAATTTTTGGGGAAGCTTCTTATAGCCTATAACTCTTTGGGGCGGAGGCTCAAGACAAAGTATCATCGTGGGGTCCAGCCCCTCGTGGGGTTCAATCAACAGATGAACCTCGAAAGAAGACATGAGAAGACTATCGAAGAGGACATGGGAGGGTCAGTTCGATTTTTCCATGTTCTTTTGGTTAGTACCGGGGGTGCCAGGTGTGCCTCCCGCCCACACAGTGGAGTGGTTGAGTTGGATGTGAAGCCAAAGAATAGCACCCGTTGTCTGCCGGTGGCCCACGGGGTGAAAGGTACTTTTCCTACTGCCATGAATCTTTGGGGACTTCGAAAAGCTGGAAGAGCTAACACGAGGCAGTGTCAGGTGCCGGAACCCGATTCCCAGGCATTTGAAGTGTTTTGGGCCACTTGACGTACACTTTGAGTTTGGTTTATCCTATATGGACATTCAGTGTTACGTGGCAGTGCAGGTCACGACAGTCATGGAAGGCGCCAGACAGCCAGACATGTCTCACCCACGAAGTCGAGGAAAAACCTGATCTTTGGAACGGGAGGTCAGCCACTTTTGCTTCCCTTCAAGTGGGTTTCTTATACTAACTGGAGAGTTCACGTCCGGGGTGAAGCGGCTTGAGCACATCAGGTTGAGGAGACGAAATGAACTGAAGGGCTGGCAGAGCGTTTGGCGAACAATGTCACATACTGTATGAATCATAAGGACTTCGCTCACTTTCACTATACCTCATGGGGCTCAGAGGTCAGATTCAGCAAGGTCAATTGAACTAGGCTGTGTTGCATGACATGTTTCAGTGGCTTTTTTTCGGATGACAAAGATGGGAGATGTGTCCTTTACTTTACTATACTTCTAAGCTCAGAAAGATGCCTCAGCAGGAATTAACTTGGAATGAACACCATGCTCCGAAGTGGCTTCAGCTGGTTTAACCTCACAGTGGATGATGCAAAAGTGCAAGGGAGGGCACGTTCATCATCATCATCATCATCATCATCATCATCATCATCATCATCATCATCATCCACTGTTCCAGAGGGAAGTCCCTCATGAGTTCGAGAAAAACAATGGGTTCAGGGAGTTGCTCAGGTGCCAGGCAGAGTGCCGTCAAAAAGCGCCTGGCAAGGATGCGATCTTTCAACAGTTTCCCTGTTTCTCTTGCGGCTATAACTATAGTTGGACAATGATGAGAAAGTCACAAAAAAGGCAAAATGAAGCTAGGCCGATGAGGCATATTGCGGGACAATGCACCCATGTACAATTTGCTTTGGTGTTGAGGGCATAGTCAAGACATCTCGTCTTTTTCGTTTCAGTCAGCTTGGGTGATGACAAACACTTCGCAACCTGCTTTACGTGGCCATTTTTAGAGTGGATTTCCGCAGCAAAAACTGCTGATGCGAACCGCAACAATCCACTAAATACAGTACATCATGAAGTTTTCAACAACCATCAAACCTTTTCACATCATTAGTGTGAACTAGTAAGCCAACAAACTTAACCTCCAGACATCACTCACTTTCTCAATTGACAATAGAAAGTGCTCCAACATGTTCCAATAGACGGTTACAGTTCACATAGACATAGACGATGAGCTCCGGCTGATCGACACTGCTTTGGCCCAGTGCGCCGGCACTGCCCAGGCCGCGTCCGCGTCCTGTCCCTGCAGTCGTCCGGAACTTGGAAGAGACTTCTTCTGCTTGTTCTACCAGGTTTTCTATGGTTTTCTAACGTAAGGGTGCCGGCTAAAAGGATCTTGCTTTTCCAGGAATTTGTAGCTTCATCTTGCAAAAAGACTGGCGTTGGAATGTGTTTGAGGCGGATCCTACTGTCCCATTCTGTACCACCTGAGACGGTTGTCCAGTTCGTGCTCGGAGGAATTAACGCTCCTGGTGCTTTTCGTGGTCGATGTATTGCGAAATGCGAGTCACGTGGTCGATGTGCTTACCCTTTGGCAAGACTGAATATTAACACGGAAGTGAAGCGGGCAATGTCCTGGAGGAGTTTTTGTGTGTCCATGCTGGTCTGCAGGAGTGTCTCAAACATATTTTTTCTTGTTATTTAGTTTGCTTAGGAAGAAGGGAATACAGAGCGCAGATGAATCACCTGAATGCATGCTGAATGCCAACCAAATGATGGGGAGATCATTTGTGTTGTTCATCTCGAGTTTTTGAGCGTTCGTTTTCTTCCATCTCGAGCTTCTCGAACTCAGGAACTCCAAACCTTTGAACGTTCCGCACACCCGTCGACCCATCGCTCATGTCGCTCGCTTTCCTCCCATGTCGCTCCTTGGTATTTCCACCTGCCAGGAACCCGTCGATGGAGGAGGCCGGACCCGGTGGGGACCCGTAGGACCCGTGGGACCCGAACGGGCGCGGAGAAAGCCGCTCCGCGAGCATCTCCGGGCAGTCCGAGGACTCAGCCAACAACAAGCGTGGTTTATGGGATTCTTTTGGACCCAACGCCGCCACAAGCAGCAGCGAATTTCATCGAACCAGACGATGTCATACTATTTCATACTATGTCATATTATCATACTATGGCAGTGACAAGTAACAAACTGAGTGTTGTGGAAATCAGTACTTTGAGCCCATGAAACAAAGGAAGGCCATCCAAGGACCATAGCGCTTTTGAAGTGGAGCCTGCTACGCTGCTCGTAGGCTGACGAAGCTGAAGCAAAATCATGTTGAGCTCTCAGATCTCAGTGGTTTCCTGCATCGATTCGCTTCAAGTCGTTACTTGAACAAGATGGGTTTGAGGTTTGAGTCAAGCGAAAGTCTTTGTGGCATATTCTTTAGACTCCTGTGGTACATGCCAGGCAGTCCAATTTCCTGGGTGTTTCATGAGGGGTTTGCATGCTTGCTTTCAGCTTACGGTGGAAGTGAGAATCCATCAGACGGGATCCCGTGTTTGCAAGTGAGCCAAAGCCCAGGTTTTGGAAGCGTGGGCTGGGTTTCGTGATCAACAGCCTACCCAGACCTTCTAAGTGTGGCTAGGGTGTGGTCCCACTAAGCCTGTTATCTATCACTATTTTCGAGAAGGATTTCCACTAGTCACCATCATTATCCACTAGGTGCTGGGAATGCGATATACCTAAATAAGTATGGCATATTTCCCTACAACGGTGTGATTTGAGGGGTCAATGTAGGTGTATTTGCAGTTGTCTTCGAGTCCCATGGAGTGTTTGGAGTCTGGGTACTTGAAGACCTTGGCAACTTGGCTTGCTTGATCCGAACGGATCTACACCCGGTGCCGATCCATGTGCTCTCGGTGGTCTTCAGATCCTTTAGTTTCGAAGGCCACAGGGCCCACAGAAGGAGAATCCACTTGAGCCAAGTGTGGATCTCTCAAGAAGATCCGTCGATTGAGTCACAGGATGTTTTATTTTTATTTTTCTTTCCCAACAAGAGTTTCAGCCTTCCTCTGGGTGTCGACAAACGGTTAGGTCGAGATCTCTTTGACGCCATCGAGAAGGGAGCCGTGAATGCGGTGTGGCACTTCCTGCGGGCCGCGGCCAAAAGCGTCGGCGAGAGGAATCGAGAAGGCTGGAATTACATGCTACCTCACTCACATGGAAGTGGAAAACGTGTTCTTTTGAAAAATGCATAAGTTCTATTTTCCGCGCTTTTCCGAATGCCAAAACAGGTGGTGTAGTTTTCCATTTCCATGTGTCTTCGTCTGTTCGTGTGGTCACAGGCTGGGTGTGATATGGTCGTTTTGATCAGCACGTTTCGGGGAGGGGTCTCCAGCTTCAGTGCTGGACTGACCCCGTTTCCCCGAGCCGAGAGCGGAGAGGGGGTGTTCCTGGTGTCCCTGGAAACCGGTCGAGCCGTCGATCAAAGGAGGATTCAACGAGAACGAAGCAGAGATGGACGTCGGCCTGCGCCCGAAGCGTCCTCATCCAAAATGGGTTTGCCCTGGGAATGGGATACGCACAAGTTAAACAACTCCAAATTCTACTCTGTGGAATCCCTATTGATGAGCACCAGGATCGACATCTCATCGATCCTTCGGTGGGGCTTCATTTTCAGCCGGCAGTGGGTCATGGCACCCGGTGGGTCGGAACCCGGTGCCCGGAGGTCGTCTATAGTCAACCGGGGTCCCCCGTCTATTTCCCGAACCGACCCCCACAGGT